CAGCTCAGCACGGCTTCCTTTGTTGCTCCGTTCCAAAGGCTGAGCCAGTGGAGAAGATGGAGCACCTTCTCCTTGCTTCCCACAACCCTTCCCAGGCTCACAGGCCAGACTTACTTGCCATACTTGCTATCTCCCACCAGCAGCTCTGGAGCTCTGTACCACCGGGTCGCCACGTAGTCCGTGTAAACTTCCCCGGAGGCTGCCAAGGGACGGGCAAAGCCGAAGTCGCAAAGTTTCACAACTCCCGACTGGGAGACAAGTATGTTCTCTGGCTTAATATCCCGATGGATTATCTGCACAGGGGAAAGCAAGTCAGGACAAATTCCTCATCTGTACACAGCAAACTGACTGGCTCAGCAAAAACTGTAGGATTCTCACACTCGAGTAGAAAATTACAGAACCCCTAATTTCAGAAACATTTATTTTATGTCTCTCTCTCCCTTTTCAGCCAAAGCTCTATTTCTCTAACTTTATATATATATATATATGAATATATGCTTCTGTATCTATTTATTTTTACTGCAGAGCTGATTTCTTGCATGTACTTACATTATGACTGTGACAAAAGGCAATTCCTCTCATAATCTGGAATAAGTATTTCCGAACCCTGTCGTAGTCCAGGCCGTTGGGAGACGCCTCCAGGTCATCGAGCACCGTGTGATCCACAAATTCAAACACCAGGTACCACCGTTTCTTCCTCTTACACACCTCCAGCAGGTTCACCAGATTCTCATGCCTGAGTTGCTGAGTAATAAAACAGGGAATATTTAGTGAGAGCTGGATGGTTTATAACAGGGAAACTGTGAGCGGATACTTTTAACTCCAGCCCAGCTGGGACGCTGCCAAAAAATGCAACTTAAATAAAAAGTGTGTGGTGGGGAAAACAGAACTGTATTTTCCAGTTATTCTGTCATCACATTCTGACCAGACCCACCCCCAATTTGTTACACCCCCAAGAATCCACCCCCAATTTGTTACACATTTATCCCACACCAACACAACATGCCATGCTCCAGTGCACAGTTATTTATTAGCTGGAGCCTGGCATGGAAATATCACCAGAGGCTGCCTGGAGGCAGCACCAGAGCCCAGGGATGTGACTGAGGGAGATGAAAAAGGACTGCAGAGCACGGGGAATTGTAGGGGAAGCTCTGCCAGTCCAGAGACAGTGCCAGCCAATCTGCACCTGGGTCTGCCCAGACTACTTAGAAGGTCTGAAAAGAGAAGAATTTTGAAAGAATGAACTCTTCTCAAGAACTGTTTATTCCCAGTACAGGAGACCTGAAGAGGTTTTGCTGTTTTCAGCCACGGTTAAATTTTCTGCCCAAACTCCAGAACAAGGAAAAAAATAAAATAAAGATGAATAAATAAAATTAGGCTCACAAGAAACATGGGAAGAAACCACAAACAGGCTGAATCTCCAGGTATTTGCTTTCACTGTGAGAGGCCACCCTTACCGAGCTATATATGGAAACGGTCCCCTTGTTAAGATTCCATTTACCCGGGAAAACAAGTTAATTCCCAACACACCTGGGAGGTGCTACGTGCTCTGACTCAGTGACTCGGTGAGCCTGACCAATGGATCAGGAACAATCCAGGCTCACACAGATCCACTTTGAAAGTGTTTGAGGGGATAATGCCTGGGGCTGTGTCTCAAGCTCCAGCACTCTCTGTTAACTCTAAGATTCTGTAGTTCTTGCAGTAATGACACACACCACTTTTTTTTCCCTTCAGAGCACATGGACTATATAATCTGGCAGATTTAGGAAGAGACACTTGTGGCAGTGAAGAGGACAGGACACAGGGAATACTTTGCCAGTATTCCCACCTCTGCAACTCCCCACATCAGAGGAATAGCCTAGATGCACCCAAGTGTAATAAAGCTTTCCTTCATTTCTTCACCAGACACACGTATATCCCAATATTTAAAATTCCCACCTGCCACTAGACCAGGTTGCTCCGAGCTCCATCCCGCCTGGCCTTAAAACAATTCCAGGGCTGGGGCAGCCACAGCTTCTCTGGGCAACCTGTGCCAGGGCCCCACCGCCCTCACAGGGAAGCATTTCTTCCTAATATCCAATCTAAATGTACTCTCTTCCAGTTTTAATCCATCCCCCCCGTCCTGTCACTACAATACCGATACCATGCAAATCCCACACTCCAAGAGCAAAGAACTACACACGGATCGATCAGGTTCGGGGAACCTGACACCTGTCCTCCTCCAGCCTTTCACCTGGCAGGAAAAGTGCCATGAATAAAAGAAAACAGAGGAAAGCTTTCCTAGAAGCATTTTTTCCGTCTCGGGTGATACCGGCACCCCCCAGTCTGGTTAAGTGTCACACACCCACGTCACCATTCACCTGCAGGTGTTGAAAGCTCAGCTCTGTTTCGTTGTCGGCTAATTCACAGCAGCAAGAACAAGAATTCGGGACAAAACAGTGGGTCGCAGCTACCACCAGGAGGCAACAGAGACCTCGTGCTTCTCCCCGCTGAACACCGGGCACGTAAACAAGACTTTTCTAATGCAGGATTCGCCGGGTGAATCCAGCACAGCACCCAAGCAAAAGGGAAAGCAGCTCTGCAAGGCTACAGCGCAAAAGGTTCGATTAATCTAACAAACAGGGCCAAATCGAGCCTCTTTTGGCTTGGATTTCGTCAGTAATATTCCGTAAATGATGACCAGAAGCTGACGAGACGCTGCGCTGCGACACAAGCCGGACGAGCCTGAACGAGGAGCTGAACGCGGAGCCACGAGTCTAAAGCAGAAAAGCCTTAATATTTAAACACGTGGCCATCAAAAAGGGCCCTGGGCGCCCCACCTTGAGCAGCTTGATCTCCCTCACGGCGATCTTCCTCACCGCCGCGTCGTCCTCGCTCTCCAGGAACTTCTTGACGGCCACGATCTGCCCGCTCTCCCGGTTCCTGCACTTGGTCACCACCCCGTAGCTGCCTTCCCCCACCAGCCCCAGCACCTGGTACTTCTCCATGGCCGGGGAGGGCGCGGACGCGGCCGGAGAGGCCGCACCGGGATGCAGGGACCGGACCGGGATGGAGGGACCGCGGAGGGCCTCGGCCCCCGGTCCAGCGCGGCGTCGCCAGGGCAACGGCCCGCCGGAAAGCGCGGCCGCGCCGCGCCTGTCGCAAAAGCCTGCGCGGAAACCTGCTTGGCTTATAAAAAGGAAAAAAAAAAAAAAAAAGCCTTATAAAACATTATAAATATAAACCGCTGTAAAGATTATTTGCACAAAGCCAGTAAGGCACGTAAAGGAGCGCTGCGTTAAAAGGCAGCCTGAAAAATACTGACTGTCCCCCGTGTGCTGCTGGGAGGCTGCTGATGTTGCCAAGGATGCGGGCATGGAAAAGGCGGAATAATTTGCTTTTAGATTGAGATGTCTGGGCCAGCGTCCTTGCTGCGCATTTTATCTTGAAAAGGTGGCAGTTTCTGCACGAACTACCTGCAACTTAACACCAGGCACGAACCCTTAGGCACGAACCCTTCAGGAGGGAGGAAAGCTGAAGCATCCGTGTGTGTTTACTGATGGAGACTTCATCCGATACATTCTTAATCCAACTTCCTCTTGTTCTTTCCATCCGGCCATGGATGTAGCAGCACATGACGGTCTTCTGCTCACAGTGACTTTGTCTTGCCCTGGACAGGAGTGGCACGGTAGGAAAAATGTAGGCAACCAGAAGCTGCAGAAACAAAGATGTTCCACGTGGATATTCCTGATATTCTCCCCTCGGGTTGGTGACCTCCATTCCACAGCTGAGGGTGCTGCAGAAAAAGAGGTGTCCAATTTCTCTGAAGAAATTTACGGGCACCAGTCAGGCTGGAACTACTGCAACATCCCTCTTTGGGAGAGGAGCAGTATATGCCTTGCCAAAAATGCCAATTCCCTGGAAAATGGAGGCATCATATACCCCAGAGATACTTTCTGGAACGATTACTGCATTTCTCTTGAGTCACGTCGATATGAGTCACCTTCTGCAACTAATTCCTGGTTGTTTTCATGTCTCCTTCACCCTCATCCTCACTCCCTGCATGCAATTACTGTAATGCACCTTTCCAGGCTGACCTCACATTTCCAGGGGGAAAAAACCAAAATATCAGAGCTCAGTTGGCATTGATTTATTATCTTGCTCCTACCTTCTCCTGCTCATCAGTAGCAAGTGCCTTCTCTGGGTCCTGGCATCTGTCCTGTGCTGGTAATGGAGAGCTGACTTGGAATCCAATTAACACTTCCACTCCTGAGAGTACTTTTGGATCCATTAAATGAAAGGAAGAAACCACACGTATACAATGTCACCATTAACTTATCATGGACAAAGGAGACTGGATTCAAATTGAAAGAGAGCAGCGTTTAGATTGGATATTAGGAAAAAAATTCTTCCCCTGTGAGGGTGGGCAGGCCCTGGCACAGGCTGCCCAGAGAAGCTGTGGCTGCCCCATCCCTGGAAGTGTTCAAGGCCAGGCTGGATGGAGCTTGGAGCAACCTGGGCTAGTGGAAGGTGTCAGGGAGGAGGAATTGGATGAGCTTTAAGGTCCCTTCCAACCCAAACCATTCCAGGATTCTATGATTGTATGTGTCAGTGTGGTGTTATGATTTAAAGCCAGAGAGCCCGAATAATGGATGAGGTGCCTCGCTAAACCTTACAGTGCCCGTGTTCCAGGTATGTTTGGCAGTCTGGTGGTACCTCAGTGGCACTGACAGAGTCTAGGCTTGGCAAATGGGGGAGAACCCCTTTTTTCTCTCATGACAACAGGGACCTTGAACTGGATTCCTCCTCTCCCAAGCGTGGCCATGCTTTCTCACCCTGACCATGGGAACCGTGTGACTTTTTGTTTGTTTGTTTTCCTCCTTTTCAAACACAGTCCACGGTGAGCACTCCCCACCTCCGAGGAGCCCGGGGAAAGCCGGCTTTGGGGCGGTCCCGGGGAGGGGCGGGCTGATGCCGACGCCGATGCCGGAGCCGGGGGCGGTGCCGGCGGTCGGGGCGAGCATCGCCCGCCCCTGCGCAGCCATGAGGCTGTGCCGGCCCTTTGTTCCCGGGGGTCCGCGGCCGCCCATCCCGATGGCCGGGGCGGCCTGAGCCCGGCGGGAAGGGACGAGGAGGAGGAGGAGGAGGAGGAGGCGGCGCTGTTCCCAGCAGGATGCGATGGGGAACTGCTGGGCGCAGTGGTGCTGCGGGCTCTTCTTCCGGAGGGACGCGGGCCGGCTCCAGCGCGGCGGAGGGTGAGCGGGGACCGCGGCTGCCCCTTTCCCCTCCCCGGGGCGGGGAGGTGCCGGCACCGCCCGGCCCCGCCTTCCCGGGGCCCCCGAGGGGCAGCAGGGGGGTGACAGGCCTGCGGGGGCCGTGCCACGCGATGCGATGCGGGGTCTGGGCGCGCCCCGCAGCCCCTCGCCCCTTCCCGCGGGGAGCCGCGGCATCCCGGGGGGATGGAGGCGGATGGAGCCGCCGGGAGCCCGGCGGGCTCCGTGCGGTTTGTGCGGTCGGGGATAATGCACTTCCAGGGTAACCGGCTCCTTACCCGTTCCAGCAGTGTTGTTTTTCCGGCAGGAGACGCTTAGGAAGGTTTTTCAGGTCAGCTGCCAGACCCTGTGCAGGCGGCCGTGTTTTGGGTGGAAAAACACCCGGTTTTCTGCACCGGGAGCTCGTCTTCTCTGTGAGTCAGAGGCCGAGACGCTGTTGGGGTAAATCGGGAGGAGAAGGGTTCAGATGAACTCATCTCTCTTGCAGAATGGTTCCAGTGAACTCATATCTGTTCCTGTCTCTTGTAAATGTGTAACCCCAGTTTCATTCTGCAACAACCAGTTCATGGAAAAGAAGTGTGCAAACGGGAAGGAAAACCTACCTGTAAAAAGACTTGGGTTTTTTTGGTTTTGTTTTCATATAACGATCACTATTTGATACCTACATATGCTTATTTTTGACGTGTTGGGATAGAAGTAGTTGTAGACAGACACGCTGAGCATTTTACATGCTGCAACCCCGTGGCCTCTTATTTCACATGAGCGGTGTCAGGCAAGTCTAACCTTCGAGAAGTCCTAAAAGGGCTTCAAGACAAGCTGCCTCTCAGAGAATTGGGTGAAAAACCAGGGCAGTGTGTGTAGAGGATACCTGCTTGTATTTTTAGTCCCCTAGCAGAGGGCAGGGGAACATCTGAAATGCCTTGACAGCAGGCAGCACTTTTCTTGTGCTCTGAAAAAAAACAGATAATGCTTGAAAGTTGTTCCTCCACGTGTTTTTTTGGTTTTTTTTTTGCACAGTTCTCCACTCACAGGCCAGTACCCCAAGTTTGCAAATTCCATTGCTACCAAATTATGCACATTTGGCTACTTCTGGAACAGCATAATGTAATAATGCATCTTATCAACTTCAGGATTATTTTAATCACTCAGAGCCCTCCCCCCCCTCCTCCCAACTTCATTATTTTTAGATGTTCCAAGATTTGACTGCAAGAAATAAACTCCCAATTAAATGATTAAGTATAGAGTTTTTAACAAGTGTTTTGATAAGCTACAAGATTGTAAGTTGCCTTGCTTGGAACTGTGCTTAAAATATATATATATGTATGTATGGAGTGCTGAAAGTTTAGTCCGTCTAATAACTTTAGATCTTTGGAGATTGAAGCTCGTGGGGTTGTGAGGTTGGCAATAATTTACCTAACGCCTGGTGCTGTAAACTGGAATTACACTTGTGTTAACAACACAGATAGTCCTGGAACAATTTCCTGGGCCGGTGTTATGAAGTGAGATTCTTAATGGTATTGGCTCCTGCACACCAAAACACACACAAGGGCAGCAGTGAAACTGCTTTAAGTGTTCGCGCCACGTGTCCCAATTACACTTGCCATGTAGTGCAAGAATTCAGGTGGCCTTTCCCCCTGGTTTCGGAGCAGTGAATCCACTGGAAACGGTTCCTTAGTGGCAGGAAGGGTTGTGCAACAAGGAACAAGTGGGTTGTGCAACAAGTTGCCAGGGGAGACGTTCCCTAAAACTGACTTCCAAATTAAAATGAGATGGAGATGAAATAGGATATGATTAAAATAGTGCAGGCTTTGGCTGGTGTGTTGCTTTTGTTACTGTGTTGGTTGCAAGCACTGAACAATCTTTTGTGGGAGTGTAGAAATCCCTGAGGCCCCAGGGTTTATTCCTGGTACCAGTCAGCACTTGCAACTGGAAACCCTGGTTTTCCAAACAGTTCGATGAAATGGATGTTGGACTGAAGTGTGTTTACTTTTGAGTGTTCTTCTGGATGATGGCCAGACCTCTCTGGCTGGGTGAAAATGTAATTCAGGTGACTTGATACTGGGTTGGGTTTTGTAGAGGACACTGTTAACTGTCCTCTATAAAAGAATTAAAATAGGGAGAATTCTGATTAAAGAATCAAAAGAGGAGATGATTCCCTGTATAAAATTAGACAGTGAGTGTGTTTGGTTTTTTTTTTGTAGTTGCAAAGTTTTCTCTTAACCTCTTCGTAGACATTTTTCTGAGGTTCAACCGTGTAGCTGTGCCAAGGTTTCAAAATAAAACGTGTTGCTGAGCACTGATGTTGTACAGGGTGCCTGGAAGGAGTCAAGTGCCATGATGAGCAGCAGCATTTTCAGAAATTGCCTGGAATCGTGTTTTTCGAGGAAAAAAAAATGTATTCAAGGGATTGCAGAACGCACTGACAGTCTGTAAATGTCAAGTCCAGCATCCTGATAAATGATTTCATCTCATGAGGGTTTTAGTTTTTTCTCCAGTTCTACAGAAAATGTTTACATGCTTTTGCCTCTTTCCACTGTGGTAGCCACGCAGAGCTCAGGTTAATGAGTCAATTTGTTAAATACATGGAGATTTTATGGTTATTTTATACTTACTTAGCATATTTTAAAAGCTGTTTTAAATTCTCGGGCTCATTTTCCTTCTGCTGTGTGTTGAAGACTCTTCTCTAGTGTAACTGCCAACTTATTTTTCCAGATCCAAGTATTTTAGAACATGTTCAACAGGAGAACACTTCACTATAGAGGTGAGTGCTTGCAATTTATAGTGATTCAAGAAAAAGTGGGAAAAGCTGAATCCCAGCAATGCCTTTGAACACCGAATTATTCTGGGTTATTCCAGACCACATTGATGCTGCACTGGGTGAAATACAGTATTTCTTACAGCACCTCAGAACATTAACACATCATCTCACTGGCATCTATTATTTGGAAAGAAGAGAAGTATCTGTTATGATCTGATACTCATCACCAGAGCATTCCACAGTCTGCCTGTTGCATCTGTCATCTCTGCTGTGTTGGGAGCGATCTCCCTGCTTGTCTAAGTGCAGAATATTTAGTTCTTGATTGCAGGGAAACGTGTAATCATATTTGCTGTATGCCTGCAGTAGACTTGTTATATTGAGTTGTAAAGATTATTTACTTTCTTTTTCTCTGCAGTTTGAGAACCTGGTGGAAAGTGATGAGGTGGGTACCTGGAGAATCATGGGAAGCCTCATATAATCCTTAAACCTCATAGAATCTTTAAAAGTGGTTCCAAGATGTGACTCTTCCTCCCACTGCATTCTTGACTTATATCACAGGGGGTTTTATACTTCAAGTTTTCCTTGCTCTAGGAATGAGTATAGAACAGTTTGGATGAAGATCTAAGAGAAGAGATTTTTGGGGGAGTATGGGAAGTAACTCTTCCAGGAGGAGAGTGCTATGGACTTTGGGAAGGCAAAAAGAAGAGGAGGGGGGGGAAAGTGTGTTTGGGAAGACTTAAAGCAAAATTTGCTCCTGGTATTCAATGTATTTAAAAACATGAGGACCAATAGTTTGGTTCCTGAAATACACCACCAGAGTATTTCTTTTTGGTTGGAGGTACTGACTTGTTTCACTTAGTCAGCCCCTTCAGTTGGTTGCATAACGAGATTATTTTTAATTCCAAATTAAAACTGTATTCCCCCCCCCCCCAATTGTAAAATCGGTATATGGGAGAAACTGTGATTTCACCTTGTTTTCTTTTTCTAATTTTAACAGGGAGAAAGCCCAGGAAGCAGTCACAGGTAAGACTTGGAGGTTCAGGACCTCCCCCTTCCCTCTGCTTCCCCTCTGTGATAAACAAAACGAAGCAAGGGACAAACAAGGGATGAAACCAAGTAAGAAAAAAGTGAGACTTATTCTGCAATGATGGTAATTGTTCTGTTCCAGTACCTAGCAAAGGATTTGAAAATATGCTTTCCATAAAGATATAAATAATACATATTGTAATAATAAGAAGAGAGAGCACTGTCCTGAGTAAACTGGAACTTTGGAGCTTTGTTCTCTACAGGAACAGCCTGTTGGATCTGCATTAAAAGGCCAGTCAGGAAAGACCACATGGACATGTTAAAGAGCAAATTAGGCTTGTCATGCATGAATTATAGATGGAGCCTTTCTGTGTTTCTCCCCTGCTTTTAGACCTCTGACAGAGGAAGAAATTGCTGACTTGAAAGAGAGACACTACGACTCCATTGCTGAAAAGCAGAGAGTTGTTGATCTGAAGCTTCAGTCAGAGGTCAGTGGTTACAATGTCTAGTCCAGGAGGGATGGGTTTCCTTTTAAAAAAGTTAAAACCAACCATGAACACCAGGGGAGTCCACGAAACAACTGGATTTTGTTTCAGCAGTTGGTATTTTTTAGTGTCCATAAACACAGATGGCTTCTCTTTAATACCCTCTTAGCTGAAAAATGGAATGAATAGGCTGGGTCTCTGACCAGGATCTGTTAAAGTTGACCTTTTGTTTTGTTTTTTAATGGGGAATAATCTTGAATCAGCTTTTCTTGGGCTCAGTTTTTCTCACAGCTTTTCTTAAGGAAAAAAAAAACCCACATAATTTGTTGTTTTATTTTAGTGTTGCACCAATGAATGGGATATCATGTGGAATATAATGTAGAACTTGAATGGTTTTTAATCCAATGCCAACGAATTATGGAAGTGAAAAGATTTAAATCTTTGAGTGTGCAGTTCATAATAATAAAATGCAACCAGCACTTAGAGCAGTTCCCTAGTAATGATGTTTATTCAACAGTTACCTAAATTTCTTGGGATGTTTGGTGAGGGGAGGGGGGGGAAGCTGTTAAATTCACTTAATTCTTTAGCTGTAGTCGGTTTTGTTTTATTTTTACTTTCTAGCTGCTTTTCTTTTGTTTTATTGCACTTCTGGCTTTATTGCTAGGAAGATAGACAGGTTCTGCTTTTGTTAACCATTACTGTTTTGTTCATACACAGTTAGCCTTACAAGAGGAGAAGTTAAGACTAGAAGAGGAGGCTTTATATGCTGCACAACGTGAAGCAGCCAGGGCAGCAAAGCAGAAAAAGCTCTTGGAGGTGAGGGGAAAAAAGACCCCAATATACATCAGAGCCTCTGTTCTCTTCCCATGTATGCAGTATTCCCTCACATCCTTCCCATCTCAGGAAAACTAACGAGGAAATGGCTTTGGCTTGTTAAAGTAGAGGGAGAAATGCAAGATTTGAAAGAAGTGCAGCTGGTTGGAGCAGCTGAAAAATCACCATAACTGTTTGAAACAGCTTCTGTCACCGAGTATAGATTTTGAATGGGTTACAATTTTAATCTATAATTATCTTAACACACTCCTTACATAATATGTAGAAGTCACTGATCTTAAATGTGAAATGATCTTGGATGGTTTTCTGGTTAAAAAAAAAACCCAGAAGTTAAGCACATGTTATATCATTTAGACCTGCAAAATGTACTTTATATATCTGTGCACTTAATTGTTTGTTCCTTATCTCTGTGGTTTGTGTCGACCCTGCTCTAGAGTTTCCATCTAATATTCATGTCACTAAGTGCAGCTCTCATTTCATATCTCTGTGTCTCTCCTCTTGCCATTTGGTGTGGGAGGGTTAATTCTTTCTTTCTGACCTTTTTGCCTGCCTTTTTTTTTTTTTTTTGTAATGCTTTTGGTCTATATAAAGCCAGCAGATTTTTTTTTAATGGCATTAAGTGGTTTTTGTAGGAGTTCTGTGCAAGAAGTGCTATTTTTCTTGTCTTTCGCTATTTTTAACAGGCACTTCTTTTAGTCAGGACCCTCAGATAGAGCAGATTAGAGAGATTTTAATTTCCTCTTCCTGTAAAATTAGTAGCACTTATCTCCTGAACAAACCAACCCCTCAAAAGGCACGAGGATTATGTGGATTTCTAAGGAAGCATTTTTGTAGAGAGAGGCATCAAGCACTTAGCCCTTCTAGAGAAACCAGCAGCTATTTTGGAATGCATCACTCATCTCTTTGCTGTTTGTGGGCACAAATGGGAAAGTGGCTTTTTCCTTGGAAGCGTGGCCTCCTTTAAAAGTCAGCTGGCTTGCTGATGGTGCCCTACTAAATGTCAGGGTTTGTAACAGCAGGGAATGTTAATATATGTGTGTCCTGGAACTGACAGTGCTGGATATTGGCGTGTGACCTGGCAAAATGGGGAGATAATTTCAATTGGATGTTATGTTCAATTGAATGTTGTGTGAATCTTCAAGGAAAATTGTTGCATGTGTCAGTAATTGACTTTGACAGACTTGCTGGCTATGATGGTGCCAAATTTCTGTCTCTTTCTCCACGTCTTCTCACCTAAAAACCACCATAATGTGATATTTCTACTTCTACGCTTATCATTTCCATACTGGTTTCAATCTGCAATTTTTATTATTATTTAAATATCTAAGATGGGAAGTGTGCCAAAACCCAAAGCTCTCATCATCTTGAGATTGAAAAAATACCATATCCAGTGCAGTTATCTCACCACAAACTATTCACCCAGCAAAGAGCAATTCTTGGATGAAGCTGACGTTAAAATTTCTGGTTTCTTTACCCCTGCTTTTCTTTGGCAGGGACAGATCCATTAAGGCTGAGAATAGATTTTTCAGTCACTAGCTACATCAGACCTGTCTCTAGAACTAGCACATTCGGTTTTATCTTAGTCTTTGTCATAATCACTGAACAATTACTGTTTCTTAAGTGATTTACCTTGAACCTGGGGAGTTCCTGTGCCTGCTTTTTATGCTCCCATTTTTTCAAGGCAGGAAAGAGAAACTTGAGACAACTTCAGCTGTTTAAACCCCCCAGACTTCAGCAGAACCCTATTTCCATGTCTGTTGTTCCTCTAATAACTAAAAATGAGGGCTTTTCTTGCATTTTTCACTCTGGTTTTGCCCAGTGGATGCCATGAAAGCTTTAAGAGTGTCGAGTTATTAATCCTTTTGGCCCAACAAGGCAGCAAAGCTCTTATTAATATGAATTATGATGAAGGACTCAGTGCTGAGGAAATGGGATAAAAGGATTTGGAGGGAATATTTCTCTTCAGTTTAGGTATGGAGACTTTTGCTTGTGCAAATCAAACATCCCTCAGGTGTCAGCTGTGAGCTGGAAATACCTGTGGCTTATGAGGAGAAGACAAGAGTTAAAAAAAAAGACAGGTGGCAGTCATGACTGAGGTGGTTCTGAAAACTGATGCTTGGGGTGGGGTTTTTTTGGGGATGCATTTAAAATAGGTTTCTTGAGAGCTCTGTTATGAGTATATGTGACTCCTGAGGGATTGCATTCAGCTTTTTCAACAATGTACTTCTCTTGATAGCAACGTAGGCAGCAAAGGATAACTCAGAGAGCACATGCTGTAAATAATGGAGAGTTTCCCAGGTAAGAGATGACATTTTATTCATGGTAACTGAGAACCCTGACTGTTTCTGCTCCTGTCCTTCACCTGCAAAGTTAAGAGGGTAGTTTGCATCCATTCTGGTTTTCACTGGACTTACTAAAAACTGAACCTACTCCCAGCTACTAATGCATATATACCCACAAAATCTAGTGCTTTATATTAAAAGGGTGTTTATATGGGAAATCTAATATAAATACCTTTTATTATTCAGAACCCTGCTTGAAATACCCAGTAGAAATAAGCTAATTGAATGGTTTATACAGTCTGCCTGTTTCTTCCTTAATATTATTCATTTAATTCTCTTCACCACCACCTTCTGTGTTCAGTGTTGGGGGGAAAAAACCAACCAAAACAAACAAAAAAAAACCCTCAGAAAAATTTCCTGTGGAATGGTGCTCAAGTTTAGGAAAAAATGTTAAAATCAACACCTATTTTTGCATGGAAGAGAAGGGGGATTGGAAGGGTTTTCACTTAGGGAAGTGCAGTTAGAAAAGGAGCTGTGAAAACTGAGGGTTTATATAGGAAGTAGCCAGATTTTAAAAACAAAGCACTGCAGTAGCAGGATTTGAATTCATAAGGTAAAAAATTAATTGAAAAGTAAGGAGATTTTATCTGCAGTGATGAAGAGAGGAGAAGAGTTTTTGAGAGGAAAGTTAATTCATTTTTAGCTGCAACTACTACTGAAAATTGAGCAGAAGCACAGACTGGGAGAGGATGAACAGGAACAGAAAGGACTTTTCTAGATCATTTTATAAAGAATTTAGTTCAAGATGTATGTGCTTTGTAGCACAGAGCTGGGAGGCACGTGGATTAACATTTTTTTAGGGCACCCTTAGAGGTTTAGAAAGCTAAAAAACTGTGCATTGTTCCCCCAGCTCTGTGGCAGAGGAGGATCTCGATCCTTTCTTAAGGAATACAAAATTCCAGTACGAAGCTTTTCGAAGTAGCAGTAAGTCTTCCTTTCCTTATGCCTGTCTTAAAACACTCTGAGGGGCACAGAGTGCTCTTTCTTTCTCTAGATGAACATAATTTGTTTTTATTTTTATATCTAAATTGTGTATGCATAGACCTGTGTTACAAAAATCTGACAGCATTTTTATCTGATGGATAGAAGAGAGGGGTGAACTTTCCTTGTCAAACCTGACTGTGTGTTATTAAAGATGCAGATGTGTCTACAGCTTTTTTTTTTTTTAATCATCTCTTAGCAAAGCAATCAGAATTATAATAATGGTTAATTTTTTTTCCCTAATGCAGCTCAAGAGGGAATTTGGCTGCCTCTATTGAAAAATTCCACTAAGAATTTAGAGGAAAAGGATTTTAGAAACTTCTATCCACAAATTGTGATGACAGTACAATGATCACTAAGAAATTGGAGGACTGATGGCAGTTCTTGAGGAAATATTGCCAGTAGTTTGTTTGTCTGGGGGGAGAGAGTTGATTTTTGGGCTTTTTTTTACAAGTGTTCATACAAGTCCAGCTTACAGCTTACTAAATTCCTAAATTAAAGCATGATCAGGAATTAAAAAGCCACTTCACTTGTTTTCTGTAGGGCTCTCATCTGATGCCACAGTGCTGACACCCAACACAGAGAGCAGCTGTGACTTGATGACCAAAACCAAATCAGTGAGTGGGAACGACGACAGCACCTCGTTAGATTTAGAGTGGGAAGATGAAGAAGGTATTTATTAATTCAGTCTCATTCTGAAGTTATAAGTTACAAATGTTGAGAGTTTAAACCGTGTTGATTGGAAATCTGTCATTTTCCAAAGGGCATTTACAACTTAATGGAATTTCTTGCAAATCTGTAGTGATTAAATTATTTTGACCGAGAGAATTCTTATTTTGATAAATGTGGATGTAGCCCCAGTAAATGAATGACTTTATTTGGGTCCTTCAGTGAATGCCTTTCCCTGTTTTTCTGTGGAACTGACTTGTAAACTCCCAGCAAAACTAATGGCAGAGAAATGCTGCCCTCTCGTGAGCAACGAGCAGAAGGAAGGGCTTGTTCTTCCCTTTAAAATGTGCAAGTTGCTCAGGAGTCTTGACTGAACTATTTGGGGAAAACCCCTAATTACTGTAACTTTTACTGGGAACTTGGATCTGTATTGCAGTGAGTATCCCAGCTGTCCTCATTGCTGCTGCTCTGTGTTACAGACACTTTCTGTTTTATTTAGGAAATCTGCCAAAGCTCTTGTATTTCAAAGTGTATCCAATATTTTGAGACCTTGGCTCCTGAAAAGCTCACCAAAAAGCAGGATTTCTTTGAGCCAATGCAGAGCTAATTTTTTTTTCTTCAGTACACTGTTTTTGACAGTCTGTGCGTGGGTTAAATGTTTAGCACTGTATATTATACTATTATTTAGCTGCTTGGAAAGACCCATGGAACATGAACAGAAAATCTATAATTTGAGTCTGATAAAGGGAAAAATTTATCTCTTGGATGGTTTTTCCTGTGCCTCCCCCCAAAAAGGTTGTGTGTTTCAGTTGCAATGTGTAACTTTTTAATAATAATTCGTTACTCCAGATTTAAAAGGGGAGTTATTTAGGAATGTACAAGGAGTGCAGTGAATAATGGGAGGATTTATGGTGCTTTTTTTTTTTCCTTTGCAGAGGTTTGGGAGGGTTCTGATAGGCCATGAGGAAGCCTGTAATTAGAGACAGAATTAACAGCATCTTGGATGTCTTTGGGCAGTTCTCAGAGCAATATTTTGTATGAAATTAAATACACATACACCTGAAATAAATTCCAGGCAAACTGAAAACCTTTCCTAGACCGAGGAATCCAAATTTTAGCCGCGTTTCCTCTCGCGGGAACACAAAGCTCATTTCCCTCAAAATGACGTTTCTCACAAACACATCTTTCAATCCCAGGGATGAACAGGATGATCCCGATGAGGGAACGCTCCAAAACGGAGGAAGACATCCTCAGGGCAGCCCTGAAATTCCACAGCAGGAAGACGGGAAGCCACCCGGCCTCCGCCTCCGACGATTCCAACGGGCTGGAGTGGGAGAATGACTTTGTGAGCGCCGAGATGGACGACAACGGCAACTCCGAGTACGCCGGCTTCGTCAATCCCGTGCTGGAATTGTCCGCTTCGGATGTGAGGCTGTCGGATTGCGACCCCCAGGACAGATAGTGACGCCGCACGGCCCCTGCTTGTGACCAAATGTCGGAGAGGGAAACAGAATGTACGAAGCCACTTTGCTCTTTTGTAACCCGCTTCCCTTCTTCTTATACGTGGATCGGCAAGGAATGGGAATGACTTGCTGTCTGAATTAGTTCAGAATTAAGTGCAATTTTATCATCTACCTTCTCAACTTTTGTGACAACTGGGATGATTCTGTTGTGTATATTTCTGGGTATCTGGATTTAATATAAAATTATCTGCACTAATTGAAGCTTCATGGCTTGACATATCTATATTTTAACTTGCCTTTTTTTTTTTCTCCTCTCGGTGTTTACACTGATTTTGTTTTTAAAATTCATCATTGGCCTAATATTTATGTCAGAAAGTCTTATATAATTTATGTAATACTTGAATATAGAGAAATAATTTAAAAAAAAAAAAATTATTTCCAGTCTGTGCTTTTTGACTTGCTCTTCAGCTATTTAAAGGGTGCAGCAACAGCTGCAAAACAAATCTGACACATGGCAGTTTGCAGACTTTTCCCTGTCAAGCTTAAAAGTCTTCCTAGCCCTGTGTTGTCCTTTTCCCATTTATTTTATTTTTTTTTTTAATTATTTTATGCTAAGCACGGCTAACCTCAATGAACATAGTCAAAACCATCAGGGTAGGTGAGATATTGTCTTGTATAATATGCCAGACTTAGTAAGCGTGTGCTAGGTAGAAAAACGAAAATAAAATTAAAATGTAAGTTCTTCATGTGTCAATAAACTGGCAGTTTTACCCAGTGTCTAGTAGAGAACTGGGAGGACCAAAGCCTTGATTTCCCTGCCCCTCCCCTGCAGACCAACATCTGTTGCTGCAGGGTCCTTAAAATTCTTTAGTTGTGGAAAATTTGTAATTCAACTGCACTGGAACGATTACTGGAATCAACATTCTGTGAGTGAACTGGGGGAGGGATGAGAAGAACGAGGACCTAAAGACTGAATTTCTATCTCTGCATTTTAAAAAGGAAAAAAAGCTGATGTTTTAAGGGTGTGTTTAAGTGCTCTGCCTTTCCTGTGCCTCTAAACTGGATGGTCAGTCCTGCAAATATGGGCTGAAATTCAAGGAGCTTTCAGTGACTGCACATCTGGTGTCAAGTGCTGTGTGGTCTCCCCTGATATTTCATGTAAGTTATACTTTTTTTAAAAAACAAACAAAAAACGGCCTGCCAAACACTTGTAGATCTCAAGCTTTCCCCAAAGTTTCAAGTTTCAAAGTAAAGCCATTCTGCTCTACTGTTATTTTGTGTAGCTGTTTTGTTTTTCCATGGCTTAAAAAAGGGGCAATGGGGGTGTAACTTCACCACTGTGGAGCCGAAGGAACACGCTGTGAGAAGTAATAAACCTTCATCATTATCATCATCATCATAACTGAATTTGTTGGTGAAAGTTGTGTTGCTGGTTTAAATCATCTGAGACTATACAGAATATTTGGGACAGTGTGGATAGGGAACAGAACTACTGCACACTTGGATTAAACACATACAAATAACATGAAACAACAGATAAATCCTGCTGGTAACATTCCACTCTCTTGATTTCAGTTGTAGCCATGTCTCTGAAAATATTTCAATGTCATTATTTACGTTTGCAAAGCCTGTAACCAGCTTTAAAAGTTTGTACACATCAACTGTATATTTTGGGTTTGGCCTAAGCTACTGCTGTGTGACTTCTCCTGGATGTTTATTTGTATAATATATTCCTGCTGGGAATGAAGGCAACTTCCTCAACGTGTAAATAACACATTTTTTTTTTTTACCTGCTGAGGCTGTCACCTCCTCTGCACTGGTCACTCCTTTCCCTGGCCAGTGACCATGAGCCTTGCCCCGACCATGCCTTGAGGAAGTCCATTAGCTGATGGTCCTGCTCTTAGGATGAACAGTGACTTAGGAAAAAGGAAGCTGACTCCAGCTTTTTCTGTGATGGGCATGTCCTGCAGCCAGGGTTAATAACATTTTCAGAGCTCAGTGCACCTTTGGTGCTGAGTGACTTTGGAAATGATGCTCAGTATTTGTGGATATTAAACTGGGAGATTCTATGAACTGCTCACGGGAAAACGATTCAACGGTACTGTAAAATGCATATCTGTACAAATTTAAAACTCATTAAAATTTTCACTCGGTCTTAATGTTTGGCAATGTGCTGTCTGTTGCTGGGTTTTGGGCTGCCAAAAATGGAAAAGAGAAAAAAAAGGCAGTGTGTGAAGATGAATTGTTAAAACATTATCCAAAACTACCTGTTCATCAGCTCGCTAAGGAAGGTTTTAAAAAATGATTAGCTGTGTCCTGTAACTCCTGAATCCCACAGCATCCCTTCTGGAGACCTACTGCTTTGGAAGGGACAAAGGGACACTAAACAAGTGGCAATAATGGAGAACCTGAGGAATTTTGGAGTGTGGAGCCTGTTGGAAATGAGCAGCTGCACCCTCATACTTCAAAGGTAAAATCACATTCCTTGTGTAAATTAACTTCTGCTGGTCAAATCAACACAGTGATAAGGATTCATTTTTTAGTGCATGGTTGAGATGGTTAATTCTTAGCCCAAGTAAATATAGTTGTAGAAATGATTGTTGCTTGGAAACCAGTAAATTGCTGGGGGGGTTGTTTCCATCCCCAAGGTGTTCTCCTGGTTCCCGGAGATGTGCCTAAGGAATGCTCTGCTCTGGCTCTAAATCCACTGAGACTCAGCACCCTGAACTCTGCAAACCAGACAGAAGATTTTTCTCAGCTAAGATGCTGCTGTTCTTATATTGCCTGGAGAATTTCAGGTTGAGAATTTCATTTGTCACTTCTTGTTTAGGTAGCAGCCCCCAAATGGTAAGCAGTTAATATGATCAGTGCCATAGGCTGATGTCCTGTGTGACAGAGCCAGTGAATAGGAACTGGATGACACCCCTCAGTGATACTATGAGCAACCTGTCTTTTAAGCCCAGAGAAGTACAAAAGAAGGATTGTATAAGTTAATTAAGAACACAGCCTAGTTCCAAGAGTGGAAAAGATGGGAACGAGGTATTTTCTTGGCAAGGATGAGATGAACAGGTAAATCCTACATAAGCCTGTGTTTGAGTTTCATTGCCTCTCCCATGACTTCTTCTCGCTTGTGGTTGGTTGCCTTAATCTCACCTGTTCCTCCTTTCACGTTATAATTATGGTTTTCTTGGAATGATTAATGCTGGAATGCATCCTAATATTAAGGGACGGTAAGATGGGTAACTCCTATGTATGATCTGATTCTTTCCAGTGTGTCTTTCAAGCGAACTAAAATACTTGGGGTGTAGCGGGGGAGGGAGTGCCAATGAAAAGCTGAGCCCCTGACAAAGCAAAACGTCACTGAAACAATATGAAAAATACTTAGAATATTTGGGGTGGGAGGTGGCAGAGGTAGGAGACTAGTAACTCTTACCATGGTGCAATGGCACTTTTGGAAAGCCCAGAACAGTGCCGGTGAAAATATTCCTATCTGGAAATAATTTTACTCCCCATAAATTCCTTTTAGATTGTGGTCGTAGAAGACAGCAAATCCTTACTAGAAAACCAAATGCTTTTTATTAAGAAATTTATCCGGATTTTTATGTACTGTGATCTCTGATGCTGCATGTTTGTTTACATCACAAGCAAGAGCAGTTACTTTGCAAAAAATACAGATTTGATTTCATTTTAAAAAACAAGGCAGAACAAAAAAATCTTGCTGTGAGGTTAATAAAAACATAAACTCCAAAGGACTCTGCCAAAAAAAGTGTTTTGAGGTTGCAAAGTTCAGGAAGTTACAACCTAAGCTTGCAAATAACTCTTTGGAATCCCGTGTCAAAAGCAAAGCACAAAGTACAACAAACGCAGTGAGAAATTATGCCCCTCCTTAGCTGGGACCAAAACCCTGCTGTGCATGCTCTGTGTTACTAATGCCTGTTAAAACATCCCTTCAAGGCACGTGGTCACAGTTCTGGAATGGAACCTGCTGCCATGGATTCGAGTGGCCCCCTGTCTCCCACAGGCAAACTGGGGATCAGAGAGCACTTATGCCCCCCGGGAAGGTGTGACAGGAATCTGTTCCTCTGTGCAACGAAGTATGTTCTGGAATGTGCTGAAAACACCAAGTAAGAAGACTTGATGTGCAGGGGTGAGAACCAGCAAGAACACTGGACTGAGGTGACAGCCCTTCCATGTTAGAAGTTGTGCAGGCTGCAAAATCTGCTCCAGCTCCTTCTCCCTGCTAGTATGGCTCGTTTTCATCCATCTCTGTGGGGCTTTTGTCTTGGCAAAGAAGAGTGGAAGAAGAAATGCAACTCTCAGGTACAGGCTGCAGGGATGGCAGGGATCTTTCCTGTAAGATCGGTGCTTCGGCCAAGTGCAGGTGAGTCTCGAAATAATCCACGGACTCCCCTTCTTGGATCTCTGCCAAGATCTGGTAGTCCCCGAAACAGATGATGCACTTCCAGGGCAGGTCAATTTTGTTCAGGTAACCCAGTTCCGTTTGGTTCACAGTCAGTTTTGTTCTCTTGCTCAAGTTCTTTATCTCAAAGCAGTATTCTGAGCTGTGGAGTCTTCTGTAGAACTGCAGGGCAAACTGGATCCGAGAGACACGCGTGTCCATCAAGCTGTAACGGCAGATCTTGGAATCGCGGCCAAACTTGGCCACTTCATCCGCCCTGACCTGCTCTCGCTTACAGAAGTTCAGGCAGCGAAACATCATCTTCTCCTCTTGGCAAGGATGGTAAAAGGTCATGTGGAGGCACGTCACTGTTTCTTCTGTCTCGGTTTCTTCAAAAGAGGTCATGATGAGAAGAGTCCTCAGAACAAGAGAGAGGCAAAAATCACAGCGTGAAATCACTGTGGAGCGAAACAAACTGGGTTCGGTGTGGCACTAAAACACTTCATGTGCTGTGGTGCAGCAACTGTACAGAACTGATAGCAAACTGGCTGACAGGAAATGTGATGAAAGCACTGGAGCAAACAAATGAGAGTTCAGAGCTCTGAGAAACACCCACTGCCGACAAGAAGCTCTTTGTGAGGATCTCACAGGTGGATTTATCTTTGCAAGAAATATGTCATTTAGCAGTGAGATATACTTAATGGACTTAAAACGGAGCAGTAAAACGGAGCAGGTCTGCTCTGCTCTCGGTGTAGTCCTGTGACTAGAAGGTATCAAATGACTTTTACAACCAGTCTGTCTGTAGGCAGTAATAATTCAAATATGTATAAAACAACTCCTTTGGCTCTTGGGTCAGAATTTACCTCTTGCATGAAACAGAACAGTGTTTAGAAGTGCCTGCTCTGACCCTATGCAAAGTGAATGCAACAGCTGGAGTATTCTCAAGACCTAAATGAGGAATTGTCACCAGCTCTAGGTATTTCCCCACTGCCTGTTGGAAAATCACAGCTATCTGATGCAGAACTAAAAAGAAGTAACTTTTCTTGGCTTTGGTTGGTTCTCTGTGTGTTTTTTTAAGCATCTCACATGCAGCACAGAGATGCTTGGATCATGAATTAAATTCTGTTTCCAAGTGCCAGTGACTGCAGTGCATCCTAATAAAATCTGAGGCACATAAGGGAACACTGTGATCTGTTCCTCCACAAATGCAAGGCCAGTGTCTTCCTGCACTGAAACCGAGTCTAAGGAAAGAAAAGCCTTGGCACTTTAAGCAGGAACCAGAGAATGAGTTCCCAGTTACTCACCAGCGAGACCTGTCAGCAGAAATTTAACTGGTTTCATACAGTGCAGATGTTTGTCGCGTTGCTCCTTCTGGATTGCAATGAGTTCCCAATGTGTCTTACAAAGATCTTGAGTTCTCTCAGTGCTTACAATTTAATCTGAGGGTTTTTATGAGTAGGTGATTCACCACTGCAATTAAATGATGATTGTGTTTTGGGATGATGGAGCTGACCCGTGTTTTTTAAGGTTCATTTACGCCACTGTACATAAACACCAAGCACGCTGAATGGTGGTGTGTCAGTGCATCATTTTCTGTGTGAAAGCTCAAAACCACTTCTTTCTTACACCTTTAACACAAAAACCAGCAGCAGTTCTGACATTCAGAGTAACTCACCTCACTTACTGAAGTAAACTACAGCAGTGCAGATGATGAGAGAAACAGAAAATTTCAAGCAGAGCTCACGTTAAAACAAACTAGGAAATGTCATCTGTGCTTTTGGCAGGAATACAGAGACAGACACCCTGATGGCAGGTTATTCCTTTGCCATCTGTGAGACAAACTGCAGAGGCACCAGCATCCATCCTTCCCTCCTGGTAGATTCCTCAGCTCCGGCATGCTGCAAGCAGCTCTGTGAGCAGCAGGGACTGTGTCTGTGTCTAGTTCTGCCCTTTCCTGTTTTGCACCAATAAGGGGATATTACATGAGGTCATTTTTGCTGAAAGGGGAAAACCACCAAGCCCTTTCACTTAGTTCTTAGATCAGCCCACAGAGACAGTTTTCTGCCTCGAGACTTGGGCTGAATTTGATACCAACTTAAAAGCACGTTCTGCTTCAGGTATTACCTTTGTTAATTGGTTTCTGAAATGCATCAGAAGCAGACAAAACACAGAAATAGAAGGATACATTTTGAGAGATCTAAAGTGTACACAACGGTGTATCAGATCAGTGCAAAACACTGGCTTTATTCACGTGGTGATATATTTTACAAGCGGCTACATTTATTAGGGCAGAACAGCCACCAGTTGCTTCAGCAGCACCCACAGACCCTGCTATCTATCTATCATCTATCTATCTATCTATCTATCTATCTATCTATCTATCTATCTATCTATCTATCTATCTATCTATCTATCTATCCTCGTGTACCACCTCAGGCATCTCCACCCCAGCTACCCCGTCCTGCCCCAAAGGTTTATCGAGGTGGAACGTACTTAACATACTATCATGTAATTGCTGAAGGAGGTTTTACTTACTAGAGAGTGTTTCGGACAGAAGGAAACTTTCTCCAACTGAATCCAGGCTTGTCCCGCAGCTCCTCTCCCTGCTGTCCTCCGCACCTTCATTCGAGACAAACAAACCGTGATCTCACCTCATCCTCCTCTCCGGTGGCGGAGCGTCGCTATCCCCGTTTCCAGCGGCAGGATCCGGGCTCCCGGAGCAGGGCTCGGTGCCCCCTCCCCAGCCCGCCATCCCCCCGACCGAACACGCCGCCTCCATCGGAACCGCAGGAGCAGCACACCCTGGTTCTACCCGCCGATCCATCCCGCCGCCTCCTTCCTCCCTGCCCTCCCTCACCTCACCTCCTCAGCTGCCAGGAGCGGGGCTGCGGCTCCCGCCGAGGGCTCCCAGCGGCTCCTCACGCCCGGTAACTCTGCCCGGAGCGGGCGGGAAGCGCTGCGGGGGAGGCGGGAACGGCTGAGGCGGGAGGCGGGAAGAGCCGAGGCGGGCGGCGCTGAGGGCACGGCGGGGGCCGGAAGAGGAGATTCATTTTTCAGAAAAACAAACAAACAAACAAACCGCCCCCCCCCCGCCACCCTCCCGAACGGTAAAAAGTTAAATTATTTGTTTTAGTGAACAAACCGAAAGGAATTTCAGGTTTTCGGCTGCGCCCGGGGTTTTTCACGTGGGCGTCTGACAGTGTCGTGCCCACGGCCACGTCGGGGAGCAGATCCAGAGTCCGCGGGCTCAGGGGTCGGGCAAAATAATTTTCACCCCCAAAGGAACACTTCGGGGAACGAAATACACTATTAAGAGTCACAACACAAGCATAACTGTTGACCTGGTGATGCCCTTAAGTGATTATTTAAAAATATTTGGTTGTTTGCTTTAAGCAACCGCAGTTCAGCTTTTCTGCACTGCCTTTGGGAAATAACCTAATCTTTCCCTGGCCGCTGATCTAAACTGAGCTAAAAACTTCCCTTTTTATTTTTTTTCCCCCCTCTTTACAAATCCTGAGGCAACTGTGCCGTCTGGTAGGAAAAAAAAAACCGAAACAAATGAGCAGTTTTTCCTCATCCAGTTGCTTAGTTTTACTTACTAACCAAGATTACTGCCCAGCGCAGAACAAGAGGCAGAGCGGAGGAAAAACCTGCTCCTTTTCACTCCAGATCCCAAATATTCAGTGTCCTCCTTTCCCCGTGCCTGTGAAGCGCTGGGACTGGCAAGGCTGTGCCTCGATAAATGCTGAAGGTTTGCTTGCTTTGGCAGGGCTGGTGAGATCCCGTGTTGGTTCGTATAAACTATTTTTCACTTGTGGGTTCTTTTTGTGTATTCAGCAAACAGGTAAATGACTCGTGGGTTGATAAACTCCTTTGTAGTTCTTGTGGAATACAACTTTTATCTGTGTGCAGGCTAATACGTGTGTTCCATGCGCTCTTCTCCCCTGGCATCAGAAAGAAAAAGGGATTAAACTGTGTTTTGCAAAAAGTCATGTTGAAAAGCAGAGAAGGGAAACAGATTATTCCAAGTTTCTCCCGTAGCAGAATCCCTTTTCTGCACCAGGCAGGGCTGGGCCCACGTGCTCACACACATGAACAAAGAGGTACTTTGCTTCCTTTCTGGAAGAGCCAGAATTGTGCAACCCTGTTATTTACTGCAACTGATAATGGTTATAAGTCCTGTCAGCCCTTTGGTTCCGGAAACAGCCTGATTCCCAGGCCGAGAGAGAGTTTTTCTGACAGGATTGTTTTGATACTTTTACTTATTGAGGTATGTGAGTACCTTTCCTTTTTTTTTTTTTTTTTTCTGTAACATCACGTTAACTACATATTCCTTATTATTTTAAGTATAGCTCTGTGTGATTTTGTACAGGGGAGGGCAGGATCTGGATTTACTGCTTCTGTCTTCCGTAAGTTTCTAACCAGTTAAAATGCTGCCAGCTTCAGGAATGCAAGTCCGGGTTTGCCCTTCATGAGAAAAAAAGAAATGCGGGCGCTCTGTGCTTCTGGGGCTTTTGGGTGACCTTCCTGCTAAAATGTTTCTGTGCTTAGTTGAGTTCATTTCTGTGTTACAGTAACTTCCTTTGTTAGCTGAAATGTCTTCGGTCAAAAGCGAAACTGCAAAGAAACGCGTCATTTGGGCTAATGAAGTGTTTGTGATGCATGGGCTGAATGACTGAGGTGGTTTTGGATTGTTGCCTTATTTTTCTAGCAACTGATTGCTGTAACTCCAGAGCCTGAATAGGCAGAATCTGGAAAACAAAAAAGTACCAAGTATTCTTGCGTTTCTTTCAGTCACGACTGACTTAGAAAACCAGAGTCGGTGAGGGGAAATACGTGTCTTTCACTTTCTGGGAAGTTCCTAGTGGGTCAGAAGAGTTACAGAAAAAATATTCTCCTAAAGATTTGCCTGGCTGGTCATGAGTTGGGAATGCTGTGATGATATTTAAGGCGGAAACGGTGCAGAAATCTGCGGGAACGCTGCTTTTCTGCAGGGCTGGCTCCTGCCACAGGGGGACACGAGCCACGCGCTCGGTGTCGTGCATGTGGCAGATGTGACGTGGCGAGCTGAGCAGAAAGCTTGAGAAGGGTGCAAGAGATGAGTGAGTAGTTGTGCCCCCCACCCCAGCCCTCTCCATATTCCTAAGCACATCTCTCAAGGCACCCTGTTTGCTGATTTTGCCCAGCATTAAATGCCTGCTGGCAGGCGCCTGCCACGGAGGCCTGGGCACGATGCCATCGTGCCTCCCTTGTCCCAGGGCTTGCTCTCTTGGGGTGGCACAGGGAACATCTGAAATCGTCCTTCAGAGACCCAGAGGAGGAGGCTGGTGAGAGCTGGTTGATTCAGAGCCAAAAAAATCCAGGCTGGTTTTTATTTGCTTGTGCGTGGGCGATGCTGGGATACAATAATATTCACTGCCTCGCCTGTAACACGTGTGTTGGGTTCCAGTACCAACCCGTACCCTCCTGCTCCTCTTCCTCTCCGCTTCACAGCCCTGTTGTTACTCCAAACCACCTTAGCACTGAGGCCACAGTGACAGCAGGTGGCAGTGTTTGACCGCACATGGGAAGCCACCATTTGTTTGGGGTTTTTTTCTGAGTGTTTGTTGTTGGTTTGTGGAGTTTTTTCTTTCCTTTTTTATTTTTTTATTTTTTTTCGTTTTAAGTCAGGAATTTCGTTGTGGTGTTGCAAGAGCTGTTGAGGTGCTTGTAAGTTAATGGTGATGGTGGTACCTTCCAAGAGTTAGTCTGGGCAAGGCATAACGGAGTACATAATTACTTGTAATGAGGTTCTGCAATGAGTTATTGTTACTGTGCAGCAAACAAGTGCCTTGTGTTCAGTCAGAAAAGAAACAGGCCCTTCTCAAAGACAGGTGTGTTCCAAAGATATCCCAGTGTATTCCACTGGATCTCAGTGTGAGGGAGGAGAGATGCACGAGGAGGAGGTGTGTTCACTGCGCTTTTAGATCCCAGTGCCAAGAACAGCTCCGCTCCATGAAGCAGAGAGGAGATCTTCCAAAGAGGGAAGAGAGAGTACTGTTCCCTCTCTTTATTTCTTTGCTCCTTGTTTACTTAGGAAAAAGTTTTCCATTTCTCATGCCACTTGACCTGAATAAACTGGTGAGGAAGCTCACTTTGAATACCAAAGGGAACTATTCCATATAAGATGGACTTTGTTTATGCCACTCTCCAAGTTCTTATTTTATTTTTACATTAAAATCTGCCCTTGGTCCTCCTTTGGAGCCCCTTTGCCTTCTTCCCTTCTCTTCCTTCTTTCCTGTCTGCTATCTGAGTTTCTCCTCCATCTTCCTGCCCCTCTTGCTGTCTGCTGTTCTTCCCTCTTACCATCCTCCTGGTTATTTTTCCTACCCCCTGTGTTGCTCCTTGCACCTTTTGTTTATTTTTTCTCTGGACCCTTTCTCCCTCTGTCTCGATTCTCTCCCTTTTGTCCACCCCACTGCCCTTATTCCCACATGGACACTGTGGAAAGAGGTGGAGGTGTTGTGATTGGAGTCCCTTCATATTGACGGCTCTGTCTTTGCTGGAAGGTTCCTGCAGTTTGGTGGGAGAGAAGCTCCAGTAATTCCAGCTCCACAAGATGTGGAAAAGGAAAAGTAAGGGAAGTTCAATGTCATAGGCCAGGTGCTTGTTTCTTGCCTAAAATTAAATCATCTTTAAGGCCTGACACAGAGTAAAAATTACCAGCTCTTCCCTATTGTCCTTTTTGGAAGGTGGAACAAAGCTTGGAGTGTTAAATGTGTTGGAGCATCACGTCTCCCAGAGAAGGCTGTCTTCATGAAGAAAATGAAAAGCTGAAAAGGAAAAAAGTAATTTGTGCAACTAGTTTGAAAGGAAGGAGGTTAAACATTGCCTTCAGCAGGACCCAGGTTTTACCGTGGAGGCTGAATCTGCCCTCCCTGTCTGGTTTGACACCAGTTAGGCGGAGATAATGTCTGGCCGAACAGAGCCAACATTTCCAGCTCCCTTGATTAAACAAAGTTATTTTGAAGAGTTAAACTGTATATAAACTGTATTTTGCTGGTATGTAGCAGAACCAGAGAATATATTGGGCTTTTTGTTGTTTGGGGTTTTTTTCCCCTTTGGATTTGCGTGGATGTGAAGGTGCTAAAGATTCCACATTGTGTGGCACTAAAAGCTCTGTTCCATTAACTCAGTTTATAGCATTTAGGGGCATGGAGTCAGCCTTGGAGGTACCTACATGACCCTTTTTCTCTTTTTTCTTTGAAGATAAGTATGATTTTGTCCCAAACAGCTCGAGTAGCTCCCTTCCTTCTCAGGGAAGCAGGTGCCTGGCTCATCTTTACCTTTGATTGTTCTGGAAACCCTCCCTCGGCGCATTTGCTGTCTGATGAGGCTTAGAAAAAAGCACTTTTTATCACTGTAGCCACATGAATTGGCGTTGAGAGGAGGTGAAGGCAGCGGGTTTCTCTTCCCTCTTTGCAGCCCCTTGCCTGGGACTCCAGTCTGTCCCTCACAGAAACTCCTGGTGGTGGAAACAGCGGGATTTCACAGCACAGGGAGCATCGGGTTTATGGCTCTGTGTATGGTCTCACAAGGGAACACTGTTCAATAGGCTTCAAAGTGATTCAGCCCTGGCATAGCCGTGGCTGTGGCCACATGTAATATAGCCTGTAGCTCTTTAAAGAGGATTAGCCTTAGATCAGGGACAGCATTCATCGCTGGGTCTCATGGAAAGCAGAATATGCTAATGAAATGGAAATGTCTACAGCAAACATTGCATAATATTGGAAAGCTCAAAATTGAGCATTGTGTCTTGATATCTCTGCTGGGAGGCAAAGTTTCATATGGTTTGTTATTTCAAGAAAAAATCAAGTGTGTAACATCACCACAAGCTCTCTAAGAATAAATTAAGATCCAGTTTGCAGTTTTACTAGCAAAATTAAAAAGATGATAACAAACATCTGAAGGTAACTTTTCAAACACTGCTGAATGCTTTAAT